GCTAGTGTTTATTGAGCACATACAAAGTGTTATTAGATAGCACTTGGCATCAAGAAACTCAGGTTTACCCCAGGATCTACATATTATAATTATACCCTTTTTACAGATGAGGACACATCAAGGCTCTAAGAGATTAAGGAACTTGCCCAAAATCAGCCACAGCCCCGACACTTATCACTAGGCTAAAAGGAACTATTATTAATAGTTCATTAAGCCAGACACTAAGTCCTTTACCAATATAACATACACAACAATGCTCTGAAATAAATATTATTACCAATACAAAGGAGGGCCCTATCAGAGAGATTAAGAAATTGCCCAGTATCTTACAACCAAGAACCATGATAGTGTATCTAATTTGCCAACTTGAAGGAAAAAACATAAAAATATTTCTATACTAAACTTTAAGAGCAGGTGAAATTTTTAAATGCTTGGCCTTATAACTTAGTATTAGAAATATACATCTATAAATTCAAAATTCTTCAAGATCCCAGGACAACATGTACATGTACATGTACCCCTTCAGCCATTGGTCAAGGGTTGTTTGTGCTCAGTTGTGGCCCCTTACTGTTTCCTTAACTTCCAGACATAGGAGAAGAAAAAAATGTAAGGATTGAGATACTGGGTTTTTTGTTTTGTTTTGTTTTAAATTTTGTATTTAATTTTTTTATTTTGATACAAACAGAAAAGTATAAAAAAATATAATATAGTGAGATTTCTCCTTCCCACAATGTCCTTTGCCTGCAAAGTCCCTAGACTTAACAAGTAACCAATGTCACCATTTTCTTGTTTATTCTTCTAAAGTTTCTTTTAATGCATATACAAGCCAATACAAATTTTCTTTTCTGCATTTCTTTCTTCAAAAAAACACAAAAGGTAACACATCATACACACTGTTCTGCATCTTGCTTTTATCACCTAACTATATCTTGGGAGACCTTTCCATATCATATTGAATTATATTTTAATTCTGTCCTTTTGTTTGTCAAGAATACTTTTTACTTGCTTTCATCATAATTCAGTCTAGCACACAGAACAGCCAGAGCTAACTGAGACAACTGACGGGGGCACCGTATCACATACCAAAGACCATCTATCTATTCTCTCCACCTCATCTTCATTTTGCTCTTTTCTCCAACTCATCCAATTCTCCTCCTCCTTGTTCCTCTCCCATCTCACCCATACCCTAACCCTGAAAACTGGACCTAGAAACAGCAAACTTCATTGATATTGCTTAGCCATGGCTACCAATAAAAAAGCTGGAGACCCCTGATATAGACAGAAAGCGGTAAATAATTTCCATAGGGCCGAAACCGGTTTGGCTCAGTGGATGGAGCGTCGGCCTGCGGACTGAAGGGTCGCGGGTTCGATTCCAGTCAGGGGCATGTACCTGGGTTGCGGGCATATCCCCAGTAGGGGGTGTGCAGGAGGCAGCTGATAGATGTTTCTCTCTCATCGATGTTTCTAACTCTCTATCTCTCTCCCTTCCTCTCTGTAAAATATTAATAAAATATATATATTTTTTTAAATATATTTTATTGATTTTTCCACAGAGAGGAAGGGAGAGAGATAGAGAGCCAGAAACATCGATGAGAGAGAAACATCGATCAGTCGCCTCCTGCATATCCCCCACTGGGGATGTGCCCGCAACCCAGGTACATGCCCTTGCCCGGAATCGAACCCAGGACCCTTCAGTCCGCAGGCCGACGCTCCATCCACTGAGCCAAACCGGCCTCGGCAATAAAATATATTTTTAAAAAATAATAATAATTTCCATTGGAACGTCTAATTAACAAAAATGCCTTCAATTGAGGAGTTGCTGTTTGAAGTTGATTTTCCTTTGTAACTTAGGTTTCCTTTGGTACTTTGGCTTGTGAAAAGGGTGAATATTGGCACTACTTTCTAGAAGCATGGAAATAAGCATATACTCAGGCCTAACATTTAGGTAATGCATTTAGAGTTCATGCTGAAATAAGGTAATCACATAAAAACTAAAGAAAATGAACATGTTGGCTCCATTTTAATTAGACTACCTTTTTTTTTTTACTTAAAAAATAAATAATTATAACCTGAAAATACATCTCAGAAACATTGTAAGGATATTTACAACTAAAAAAAGGGAATAAAGTTCTCCCTCCTTTTTTTATTTTCCATCCTGTAAATTCAATGCTATCCTCTTCCCCCCAAAAAAGTGCTTTTTCTCCTGCCCAGATCAAACTTAATTCATAAGTTTTTTTAAGTAATAAAAGGAGGAGGAAAATGTTATCAAATAAAACATTTGTTTAGATTAGGAAGAGGTTTTGCACTAGCAGGGAATATAAAATTAAGGCAGCCACATAACTACATTCTTGAGTAGTTAACAAGTGGTAACTCATACAGTACAGAGCTCTAACTTCCATTCTGTATTCCTACCAAGCCAGAAGTCTTTGATACAGCTTCAGGGGTTACAGTGAAACTACAGCTGACTCCTGAACAATATGAGTTTAAACTGTTTAGAGTTTTTTTCCATAAATACTATTTTTCTTATGATTTTCTTTTCTCTGACTTCCTTTAATTGTAAACATATAATATATATAACAAACAAAATATGTATTAATCAACTATTTTTTATCAGTAATACTGTCAACAACGAGTAGTTAAGTTTTGGAGGAGCCAAAAGTCATTAGCTATTTTTGACGGGGGGGGGGGGGGGGGAAGCAGTGCCCCTAACCCCCAGGGTTGTTAACAGGGCCAACTGTATATTAAACACTCAGGTTCAGAGATTTAGAGGTAAAAATCTTAAACAGCATATATACCTTAAAAAGCAAGACTCGCCCTAACTGGTTTGGCTCAGTGGATAAGAGCATCGGCCTGCGGACTCAAGGGTCCCGGGTTCAATTACGGTCAAGGGCATGTACCTTGGTTGCGGGCACATCCCCAGTGGGGAGTGTGCAGGAGGCAGCTGATCGATGTTTCTCTCTCGTTGATGTTTCTAACTCTCTATCCCTCTCCCTTCCTCTCTGTAAAAAATTAATAAAATATATTTAAAAAAAAAAAAAAAGCAGGACTCTATGTACCTAATACATTAATTAAAACCAAGGTGACTGCCCTGAACAGTTTGGCTCAGTGGATAGAGCGTTGGCCTGAGGACTGAAGGTCCCAGTTCGATTCCGGTCAAGGGCATATACCTTGGTTGCGGGCACATCCCCAGTAGGGGGTGTGCAGGAGGCAGCTGATCGATGTTTCTCTCTCATCAATGTTTCTAACTCTCTATCCCTCTCCCTCCTTCTCAGTAAAAAAAAAAAAAAAAATCAATAAAATATATTTTTAAAAAAAACAAGGTGACTGTAAAATAAAATCCAATATATTGATCCAAATTTTCTTGAGTTTTAGGGAACTAGTACCTGCTGACAGTCCTTTGTATCCTAAAGATAACAAAAGTCACCAGATCCTGGTGATAAATTCTCAGTACCAAAGAGAAATAATACTCTTGCACAAAGTCCTCCAATTCCTAAGGGGTCAGGACTTCTGGTTGGGTTCCCCTTGCAACTGCTTCAATTCTACAGGGAGAATGACTGGAAAAACTGTGTGACTTTGACTTCCTTTACACTAAAATAAGCCTCATTATCCAACAATAGCAGCTGAAACATAAACAAATATGGAGAACTCAGTATGCATTTACCTAAAGATTTCCAACAGTCCAAATACTTCGTTTACACAGATTGCATTATTCTCTGATTTATTCACTGCATTAATTTGGAATTCTGCAGGAAAGATTACCACACAACAAATTATCTAATTACACTAATATCCAGCTCCAAAGGAAGGCAACCTATGCCAGCTGGTGAAGCTGGTGGAGGGTTTCCATTACTCCTTGTCTTTCTCTCTCCATCCTTCCTCCCATTTTCCTCCCTACGTATGTCTTAAACTCGGCCCCTCTGTTTAGTCTCAATGGAGTGTCCTTTGGCCATCTATGTACAAGAAATTGAAAGCAGCCAAGAGACTAGAGAAAAACCGTACCAATGAGTGGTTTTTTCATCTAAAGATCATCTGTTGCCCGGCCAGCGAGGCTCAATGGTTGAGCATCAACCTATGAACCAGGAGGTCAGGGTTCGATTCCCCATTAGGGCACATGCCCAGTGGGGAATATGCAGGAGGCAGCCAATCAATAATTCTCTCTCATCGTTGATGTTTCTCTCTCTCTCCCTTTCCCTTCCTCTCTGAAATCAATAAAAATATATTTGAAAAAATAAAAGATCATCTGTCCACACTGCCCAAAAGAGGTTTATCCTGTGAAGTGAAACTTGGCACCAAGTGCTACCTGTTGAGAAAAATAATGTAAATTCATTCCCATACAAAGGACTAGGAAACAGCATGATAACTCTCCAACAGAGTTGTATCCATAAACCAACTGGTCTTAGAATGTTCTTATATCCTATATGATATGAAGTTTCAGAGTAAACAAATGGTTAATGACACATCTTTTGTAACACATGAATCAGCTACAGATTGGCAAGAGTGGGTCACACCCTAGTACCTATGACTCTAAAGTACTTGTTTGAAAGTGGACCTGGATGTCGGAATTGCCAATCCATCCTACTTAGATAGGAGCAGAATTTTACAACTATGTGGGTTGTCATAACTTAAAGTTAAAAAAATAACACATATATATGTAATGCAAATTAATTTGAGAACTTCACTAATATTTTAACTCCAATAACCAAGAAAAGGAGCAATACAAAGTAAGGAAACAATGGACATAAGACACTGGGGGATAGGGGAGGCCAGGGGATTGTCAAGGGTGGGGGAAAAAAGGAGACATATGTAATACTCTTTGTAATACTTAAGCAATAAAACTAAAAAAAAAACAAAGTAAGGAATAACCAATCAGTCCTAGGAAGCAAACACAATAGTAGTTTTTGAGTGGCAAGAGGCTTAAAGAATTGCAAATTTGGGAATTAGAATATTCTCAATTCTAAAAAATAAATTAGGCCTTCAATTTTAAAAATAACACATCTTACCTTAAGAGGCATCCGAGTAGCATTCATAGTGTCAGGAGTAGTTCAGACAATACTCAAAAATGAGCAAGAAGGGAGTCTTAGTAATCCCTCAGTCACCAAGTATGAGCAGGTGGAAAAATGTTTTGTTTCAAGAAGGTATCTGAAAGAGAAGACTTTCATTTAGACTAAAAAAATGATGAAGAATGAGTAAATAGTTTAAGCTATGTGGACAGAGATTTGAAGTACTACTGCCTCACCATCCCAAAGAGAAGTACAAAACAGTCCTCTTTGGAAAATAGCAACTGTGGGCATGTGTATATCCATATATATGGAGAACTATACTTTACATAAGAAGTGGATTCAATGTGTAATACATATTTAAGATAATATAAAATTTTAGATAATATCAAATCGTTAGAAAGCCAAAATCCCAGATAGAAAAATAATTATCCATCCAGGGTACTTCATAAACACTACGGAAAGTGATTTGTTAACTGACCGTCTAAAAAAGACTTTTGCCATGTTTAATTTTATTTAATGAAAACCTCTCTGATCGCTCTCATTGTCCTAAATTTTATTAAAGTTTCAGAACCCATTCTACTTAAAAACCTATGCTTGACTGAAGTGCTACAAGCAAATAAAAGGCCCTTCTTTCCTAGAGATCTTTAAAAGCAAACCAAACAACTTAATTTTGACGACCCGGGAGGGAGGCAAGTTTGCCTGGAGGTAGGAGGATGGGTTAAATGACCTCCCTCGCAGAATCCTCGTTCAAATCCTAGGCCTGAATGAAAATTCCAGCTTAACCAGTTATTGCTTCGCTTAAAATGGAGGCTTGCCTGAATAGGAACAAAAATAACAGCACCCACCTCTATAAAATAAATTTCGGGAAAATCAAAGACTACAATACCCTCATCTTCTAAAGAAAAATGTTTTTAAAATGTTCTGGTGTCGATTTGTTCCTGCTATACATTTGTCACTTCGGCTTGGAAGACTTGCCATCACTTTCCTTAACGCTCATCGGATTTTTTTTTTTTTGGGGGGGGGGGGGGGGGTAAGGGGAAGGAGTCTGACTCTTGACCCAAGTCTCAGGAGGATTTAGGGGCCCCTCGGGGACCCCCACTGCAGGAGGCATGGGGAGAAGAGAAAGGGGACAGCCCGATGATTCCCACCCCTCCCCCCACCTCGGACCCTGGTCCCAAACCTATCCGCCTCACCTTCCCGCAGCGGGGTGACTCCTTCTGCCCCATCCCCGCTGTTAGAGGGGGGGCGCCCGCGGGAGTGGGCTCAGGGCAGGGGCGCCCGTGGCCGTGGCCCTCAGGAGGGGCGGCCCGCGGGATGCAGCTTCCCTTCCCCTCCGCGTCGGTCCGTCCCACCTCGGCTCGGCCTTGCGCCCCGGGCTCTCCTCGGCGCCCCCGGCCCTAGGCCCGGCCCCGGCCGGCCCCCGGGCACCAGGCCCCCGTCCCTTCGGCAGGCACCCCGCGGCCCAGGCCTGGGAGTGGGAACGGGGCGGGGGTCTCTATGCCCCACACACGCGTCTCCGCTCCCCCAGCCCAGCCGCTTCCAGGGCCCTCGGCGGCGCCCGCTCCACGGGCCCAGCAGCCCCTCGCCTCCCGGCCGGGCCGCCCCCTCGGATTCCCGCCTCCCCTTCCCCACCATCACCTCTACCGACTCGGGCACCCACCCCCCGGGGCACCAGTGCCAACGGCGGCTCCCCGGGCCCCGGACCTACCTGCACGGCTCAACCAAGCCTAGAAGTGGGGGCGGGGAATCTTCCGCCCTCCTCTGTCTCTCATTGGCCCTTCCAGAGCACATCGTGAGCGGTATTGGCTGGTGGCGGATGTCCGTCAGAGCGGCGGGGCGGGACAGAAGGGGGAGAGGATGCTGGTGCCCCGGCGTCTCTGTCTCTGTGTATCTCTCTGTCTCTGTCTCGCTTTGGGAAAGGAGAGACATTTGAATCCGAGGACTGAACGGAGGCCGGAGGTGGGAAGGACAGAAATAGGCATCCTGACAGAGCTTCCCACCGGTCGGCCGCTCCGAGCCCTCTACCTAAGTCTCCTGTAGATCCTCTTCTCCATCACCCCCAACCCTGGCCCCTCACCCTTGTAGGTTCTTCATCCAGGAAGCGACGTGATGAAAACTCGAGGCCGGAAGGCCATAGAGGAGATTTTATGTATGTATATAAAATATACACATACAAATACTTACATATAAAGTCAGTCAGATATAAGGTCACGAGAGCCTGGAGAGGAAAGGGTACACATCTCACAAACAGGGAAGGACTTGAGATAGAGCCACTATCAGAAGGAATCAAAATGACTCAAAGTGCTAGTAACAGTGGTTTCCTCCCGGGCGGGAGAACTGAGTGCCTGGGAGACCAGGTGGAAGAAAGACAACATTACACCGCGCATCCTTTTGTATCTTTTGATTTTTGTACCATTCACAAAGATGCCAGGTTGGTTTTGTTGTTTTTTTGTTAATTGATTTAAATTTAAAAATAATTCCAAGGTTGGAAAACCAGGGGGACAGACAAGATGGTCGTCCGGACAAAGTGGCACGACGTGCGGATTTTAGGAAGGAATTTTAGTTTTTAATATATTCAGATCCAGATACCAGTGGTAAAACTAAGTGGATGTGTCCTAGGGGAACTGGAGTTATGGAACTGGTGGAGAGTAGAAAATCTGGACTAGGGGAGATCTGGGGGTCTCCGCCTAAATATGGTGACTGGTGACATGCTAAAGGATAAACTCCCCATAGAGATGTAAAAGAAACCCACCGGAGGATGAAAAGAAACAGAATGAGGGGCAGTTAGGTAAGAAAAACAATATTGAAGAAGCATGAAAGTTAAGGGAGGAAGGGTATCTGGAAAAACAGAATAATAAAACTATTAAGACTGGTGAGGCTCTTGCGACTCACTTCAGGGACCCTCTTTAGGCTCATTCAGTAAAGAATGAAAGCCAAGAAAATATCCATTAAGCAGAGTTCTTAATTTTTTTCAAGCCACAGACCCTTTTCAGTCTGGTGAAGTATATGGTCCTTTTCTCAGAATGTTTTCAAATGCATAGCAAACATACATGGGAATGCAAAGGAAAGCAATGATATTAAACCACGATTTTCAATTATATTATATTAATGCATTTTATATTAATGTATTCAATAAGATCTAATAACAGGCCTAATAACCACAGTAATTTTGAGGCAGTAAATTAACATAAATAATAATTCAAGATCTCTGCAACAACTGTTATATATTTGCAAAATATCTGTGATTTCTATTGATGACAAGATCACAGGTACTGCTAATAATACTTGGTTTGTTGTCTCCATTTGTACTTAAAGAAAATGCTAATTTTCTGTTACACTTTAGCAAAAATAAAGGCATATGCTTTTCTAAGTTCATGGATTTCCTAATCTGCGGACCATAGTTTAGGAAACCATACCCTAAAGAAAGCATTCTTTCCACCCTCCACATACCATGCCAGGCTGTGCCCTTCCCTTGGCTTCTTGTCTCTTGCTTTCTCTACTCCTTTCCCATTTGCTCCAAGCACTCTCTACCTGCCGATTTCTGATATCCCTGTGACTAAAAGAGCAAAGCACTATGAGTGAGTGTTGGAAGAAAGATATATACAGGTTGTCTTTCTTCAAAGAAAAAAGAGAGAGCTAAACAGTATATAGCAGATCTGAGAAGATGGGGAAAAGGAACCCAAGATGGGGTAGCATTAATCCCCAAGAGGAAAAACAAATTATAAAAAGAAACTTTTATCAGTTAAAAAATGATATTTTCTGAGTTTATTAATTTTACTTAAATCAGCCCTAGAAAACATGTTTAATCCATCTTTTTATTTCATATATCTATAAAATGGGGTGAAAAAAATAGTACCTACATCCTAGGGTTTTTTGTGAGGATTAAATTAGTTGATACATATAATAAATTTAACACAGTGCAGTTTTTAACTACCGTTATTATTACATTTTGCATCTTGTATTCCAGAGCATGCCATGAAAAGTTTTGGTATGATTATTTGTATTAATGGCATGTATAATAGCAAATTAAGAGTGATAAGGTGATTAACCCAGAGCACCTACTTTTTATTTAAATGCTTCAAATTTAGAATACTTCACTTCTTCCAGTTACATTTTCATTCCTCTAGGGGTGGTTGGAAGAACATCAGTGCCTCTTTAAAGAGATTGTAAACTTGGAAAGAAAATTTTGCTACTTCTATTACAAAGGGCTAGCTTCCATAATGCTGAATATAAAGACCTCCTACAAATCAAGAAATAAAGACCAGCAATCCTCATATATTTCTGGTGGAAGTGCAAACTGGCACAGCCACTTTGAAAAAGACTTTGATATAATTTAATACAACTGGAGATATGCATACTCTATGTCCTAACAGTTACACTAGTGGATATATATTATAAGGAAATGCAGAGTTTTAAGCATAAGTATTACTGTACAAGAATAGTTATAGCAGCATTGTTCCTTAGTGCCCCAGACTGGAAACATCCCAAATGTTTACCAAGAGTAAAATGGTCAAATTATTGTATATTTGTACCATGAAAATTAATAAACTATGGTTATATTCAACGACATAAAAATTTTTACAAAGGTAATATTAAACACACAAAAAGCAAGATTCATAAAACATATATAGTATGATTCCATTTATGTAAAGTTTAAAAGCAGGCAAAATTGAACTACTAGTATATTGCTTAGGGATGCATAGATAGGTGTCAGGATTATAAAGAAAAGGAAGGAAATGAACACAAAAGACGAATTAGTGGGACAGAGGGAGTTTGATTGGGTGGAGGTTGTTCTTAGGGATAGGCAGTATTCTACTTTTTGATCAGGTGATGGGATAGAAGTATGTGCTCTATAAGTGTTTATTAAAATGTACAAAAATGCCCTGGCTGTTTTGGCTCAGTGGATAGAGCGTCGACCTGCGGACTGAAAGGTCCCAGGTTCGGTTCCGGTCAAGGGCATGTACCTTGGTTGTGGGCACATCCCCAGTGGACGGTGTGCAGGAGGCAGCTGATCAATATTTCTCTCTCATTAATGTTTCTGGCTCTCTATTCCTCTCCCTTTCTCTCTGTGAAAAATCAATAAAATATATATTAAAAAAATAAAATGTACAAAAACATTTATATTTTTCAGTATATATATTTCACAATGACAATATTTTAAAAACAGAACCTCTAGGAAAATGAACAAAGTTTATGACAAATTTTACAAGAATGAAAACAGGAATCGCTCTTTTTTTAAAAATATATATATATTTTATCGATTTTTTACAGAGAGGAAGGGAGAGGGATAGAGAGTTAGAGAAATCCATCAGCTGCCTCCTGCACACCTCCTACTGGGGATGTGCCCGCAACCAAGGTACATGCCCTTGACCTGAATCGAACCTCGGACCCCTCAGTCCGCAGGCCGATGCTCTATCCACTGAGCCAAACCAGTTAGGACAGTAATGGCTCTTAAACGAATGAAAAGATGCTCAACTTGACAAAAACATGCATTTAAAGTTCCACTGAGATACTATTTTCATCTAATAGGTCATGAAGATAAACATTTGCAAAACATTGTGTTGGCAATGGAAAGAGGGAAATAACAATTTTTTTTACATCACTGATGAAAGTCTAAGTTCTTCCAATATCTATGGAGCTCTATGGAGAGCAATTAGGCAATAACCATCAAAATTATAAATGCAAATACCCTTTAATTCAGTAATTCCAACTCTAGAACTGTATTCATTCATTCCATACATATTTATTGAGCACCTTACTATGTGGCAGGCAGTTTTATGCTGTAGAATTTATCTTACTGATATATTTTCTGAAAAATCTGGAAATATGGGGCTGTTTATTTCATTGTCATACAGTTGTTCATGAGGAAGAAGCCTTAAATCTCAACCAGAGAATATAAAAGATTTTATCAGACCACATTAAATAAAATTTAAAAAGTATAATAAATATTCCCCTACTTCCAAATTTTGAAATAATCTGTATATACATACTTATTTGTTTGTTTGTTTTGTTTTTGTTTTTTTAAAAATATATTTTATTGATTTCTTTTTACAGAGAGGAAGGGAGAGGGATAGAGAGTTAGAAACATCGATGAGAGAGAAACATCGATCAGCTGCCTCCTGCACACTCCCTACTGGGTATGTGCCTGAAACCAAGGTACATGCCCTTGACCGGAATCGAACCTGGGACCCTTGAGTCCGCAGGCTGACGCTCTATCCACTGTGCCAAACCGATTAGGACAGTTTGTTTGTTTTTTTAACAAACATTCTAATAGCAAAAGATGAAAAGAAGCTTTAAATGCACTTCATTATAGGACTGGTTAAA